TATCATAATGATAAAGATGATGATAATGATAATGGTGGTGATGAGGAAGATGATAATGATGATGGTGATGATGATAATAATGATGGTGATGGCGATGGTAATGGTGATGATGATGAATATAATAATGATGGTTATGATGATGATGATAATGATGGTGATGATGATTGTAAGGATGATGATAATGATGGTGATGATGATGATGATAATGATGATGATAATAAATGATGGTGATGATGATGATGATGATAATGTTAATAATGATGATGATAATGATGATGGTGATGATGATGATGATTGGTGATGGTGATGATGATGAAGATGAAACTTAATCTTTGATGATGATGATAATGATGGTGGCGCGGGGCGATCTCCACTCGGGCGGGAGCCGTGACTCGTGACACCGGCATGAAGGCAGGAGCGTGAAGGGCGAGGAATGCGCCACCTCTCTGACGTCACCTCGCTTACGTCACAAACACTCTCAAAAACAAAGATATCACATTTCAATATACTGATATATTAATTAGTATCATCCATTAATATACTTTTTTTCCACATAGACTTTTAACTGTTCCGTTTGTATGATCATATTAGATGGAAATTAACCAATTGTCTAAGCACTTCTTTGCTTCTCGGCCCAGCCATGCGCGTAGTTGCGTACAGTTCCCTCATTTCAGTCTCTTTCGTTTTGTTTCAGAGTTTATCATCCGTGAATAGTTAACTTAAATGCTTCTATTATTATTTTATATTGGAATATATTTACAATGAGGATGATGATGATGATGGTGATGATGATGATGGTGATGATGATGGTGATGATAATGATGGTGCTGCTGCTGCTGCTGCTGCTGATGATGATGATGATAATGATGGAGATGATGATGATAATAATTATATAATTATCATTATCATCATCCTTATCATTGTAATTATCATTATCGATATCCTTTTCATCAGAATTATCATCATTACTATTGCTATTATCATGATTTTTATCTTTTTCCTCTCTTTCCCTTAATCTACCTTCTCTCTCATTCTTTTTTTTTCACAACAAAGTACTTCATCAATCTTTAAAAAAAAATGAAAGATCAAGACAACGTCATACTCTCCACGACACAAAACGTTTAGCCCGAAATGCAAATTATCAAACGGCTCCGCAGAGTTCCCAAGCAAGAGTTTATGGTAATTCACATCATAACAGACGCGGGTTCAACAGCCCAACCAGAGCAGCTGAGGTTCAAGTGACCATTTCTACCGTGGTTCACTGACCCTCGTGAAATGAAGCTGCTCTGCCCAAGCTTTCCTTATGGGAAGTGATGGCCCTTTCAGTTAATTATTTGCTATTCTGCGGGCTACTGGGGAGGAGAGTGTGTGTATTGTATAGAGGGATATTGTTTTGAAATTGGTGTTAATTTTGGAGGTTTTTAGAGCAGTGGTGATAGAAATATTTGTCTGTCTGTTTGTCTGTCTGTCTATTTAGCTGTCAGTCTATTCGTTGATTGTCTTCTTTTCTCTCTGCCTTATTTTTTTTCTGTCGATTTTCATCTCTTT